ATTACTAAAATATGTGATATGAAAAAGGCGATAAAAATGAGCCCTAAGCGTCCTGCGGTGAGGGGTGACGGTTAAGGGGTTAAAATCTCTGAATATCACTTAATTGATTGTTTGAGATTGTACATACCTAAATATCTGTTTTTACTAGATTCACATTACTCATAAATATTGTTTTATTAAATTGGCTTACTCAAATATTTGAGTTGCTTAACTTGTGTCTTACAGTGTACCAATTTGTCATGGTACCAAGTTTTCCTGATCTACTTAATATATATATATATATATATATATTTACCAAATTCATAAGGTATATTTCATTGCTTTCTCGGCCTTTACTCAACATTTTTAAGTGTAAATGTAAAAATGTTTCACATAAAAAAAAAATGGACTACATCATAGTTTAAATTTAGAGTTTGAATGACAAAATTGCATGCATAACATGACTGACATAATAGAACATACCTTTAATATCATTTCTGGACATCCTGGTCGGACATCGATGTCAACAACACAGTCCAAAGCTAACTGACTGCTTCCTGATGAAGGACCTTTCCAGGCACTGGTTATCGTTGTACTGTATCTATAGGTGTGCCTTTGCCCTTTCTGCACATCTGTATACACACAAGTCATATATGTGTGTGTGTGTGTGTGTGTGTGTGTGTGTGTGTGTGTGTGTGTGTGTGTGTGTGTGTGTGTGTGTGTGTGTGTGTGTGTGTGTGTGTGTGTGTGTGTGTGTGTGTGTGTGTGTGTGTGTGTGTGTGTGTGTGTGTGTGTGTGTGTGTGTGTGTGTGTGTGTGTGTATGTGTGTGTGTGTGTGTGTTTATTTATACTTTAGGAACAAATTTGTCCCCAGGAGTGAGCTAAATCAGACAAAACCTCCATTTGGTGAAATCCATAATTGTAAAAATGATAAAGCAAATACTGTTGTTACATATGTATCAACATATTCTCTTACCAGGGCAAGTAGACTTGCAAAGTTGACCTTGGTGGAGTTTGTGGCAGTCAGCTTATAAAAACATAAGCAAGTTAAAAAACCATCATTGAATGCAGAAGTACTAACACTTACACAAAACTTTGTAGAGAAACAATCATTAAGGCTACTTGACCATTTTATATTAGTCGAAATATATTCAAAGGAGGATATTAAAGAATAGGATATGAAACACTTACCACTGAAGAAGATAAGCAACATGATTAAACAGAGATTTTGGAGCGATAGACGCACCGGAGACATAGCCATAAGTGATTGGATTTAAAGTAATGCCCTGCACCAGCACTTATAGGAAGAGACCATTACTAGGAACGCATAACCACATAAGTGAATGGATAGATGTTGAGTTAAGCCTTTGTAAAAAAAAAAAAACCCACAGGACATTCAGACACCAATCAGAAGACAGATGCCCACCAGGGGACCATCCAGCTAACAAAATCTAGCAGCATACCGATGGACATCTTGAACTGAGTCTCTGCCTTCTCACAACACAACATGCTCACGGATTTGGCATGGCTTGAGCATTGAGCAAAGTTTTACCTTTGAAACGTTGAATAATTATTTCATTATTTTAATTACAATGTTTGTGAAATATTTTGTTTAAAGAGCAATTTGTTTTATTTCATTTCTATTTTAGATGATCATGCCACTTGTGCTGTGTGTTATATATAGGCTTTATGTAATACAATCGACAGCATTTATGGCATAATGTTCACTTACAGTAAAAGTGAATGGGGGCAATCTGTAAACACTTACTTACTGTTACAAAATCACGAAAAGTGTAAATAAAATGTGTATCATTTATGAGTTAAACATCACTTACTAGCTTTTTTGTGTACAGTATATTACATTTTACAACCTTGCTGCTATGAAAAGTTAGTGCTGAAAAGCTCTAAAGCCATAAATATGACTAATAAGGTTTTAACAGATAAATCAATGTAATTGTTTTTATGAATTCAATCACATTTGTGCTTTAAAATCCAAAGATGTGCCTCATTTACTTCCATTGTAAGTGCCTCACCACAATGTTTATCTTATTTTTAAAGAAAATAAGCATGCCTTCTGCCATCTGATTAATAGTTTATACTTTATAGCAAGTAAAAGCCCTTTATAATTGTAAAAACGCCCCCTTCAGGTCGTGTGTCTTTTTGCTGTGAAACCTTTACTGATTTTTACTAAGTGAAAGAATGACTTTTACAGTTGTTCGTTTTTCAAAATAAACTCTCAATGGATTACAAAGTAGTTAAAATAATTTTGTAATATGAAACCTGACAACGCCCACTAGGGGAGGGGGCGCAAAAAGAATTAAAAGTATTGTTACTTACCATGGTAACACAACGTCCAATTTCAAAACGGTTTTCACAGGATGTTTTTTGAGTTCGTAAGCTTTCGAATGATACCTAATTCACGATGATTACTAAAATACGTGATATGAAAAAAGGCGCTAAATAAAAAAGAAAACCGAGCATACCTGCTAGCAGGACGGTCAGAGTTAAGGGGTTAAAATCTCTGCAAATTGGACATACAACATGCTTAAAAATCTGTTTTTAGTGGATTCACATCACTTATTGTTTAATTAAATTGGCTTACTCAAAAATTTGAGTTTCTTAACTTGTGTCTTTACTCAGTTTTATTTGTCATGGTAGCCTACCAAACATTATTCTGATCAATTTATTTACTTTTTTACTTATATTTCCCAAAAGGTATATTTAATAGACTTTTCTGCTTTTATTCAATATTTTACGTGTAAATGTAAAAATGTTTCACATAAAAAAATTTACTCTTAATGGACTGAATCAATACTGTGTGTACTGTATATATATATATGTTTTTATTTTTATTTTTATTTTTCTTTATTTTTTTATGTGCTTTACCTGTATTTAGAATTATGCATTGTGTTGTGTTGTGTTTTAGGGTTAACAGAAAATTCCGTAAAATTACTGGATAATGTCCTGGCAGAAAATGACCAGTACATTATTATTTTTTACAGTGTGATCTTTTTGAAAATTCATGTTAAATTGTGATTATCAAAAATGATGCGTCAGGCTTTTGAGGAATTTGTGTTGCATTTATATCATCTTAGTAAGACATTATTGGGAGATACAGATTCTATATTAAAGATCTCACTAATTTACACTTACAAGATATCAAATTGTCATATTACTTTTCGGCCATGTAAATATCAGCAACTGCACCATATTGTATATTTTTTGCTCATGGCCTCTGCTCTGAATATGATTGAGGAGTTTTTTCCCGAGGTATACATTTAAAAAAAAGAAGAAGATTTTTCGGACTATTGTTACATATGTCAGGCTTTACATTGTTAAATGTCTAAATATAAGTGATAGTAAAGTTTAAATCTAGTCTGTTCCCTGAAGACAGTTGAGGAATAGAAAGGCTTGTCCTCAACTTTGGCACCATCTTCTGGACAGGTCTAGCTGTGCAGTGAAGCACATTACTGTAATAAACAAAAGCTTGAGTGCAAGTGCAAAAGCCTTTTTTTTTTTTTTTGCAGTAAAAATCTTGAATCATTCTTTTAAAAAAATAATTCACAAGAAGTAAAAAAAAAAAACAGTTAAATCAACATGGTGTGTGTTTGTGTGCTGTTCATTTAAGGTTTGGGGCCACACACACACACGGTTAAAAAAAAGAGTTAAATCAACGTGTGTGTGTGTGTGTGTGTGTGTGTGGCCCCAAATCTTACATGAACAGCACACACTCACACTCACACACACACACACACACACACACACGCACACACACACACACACACACACAAACTACCTACAAAGCCTTTATTTTCACTAACAGTATTCCATTATTCCTTTCAATCCTCCAAAGCACTACCTATTTTCCCACTACACATTTCACTGTGTGAACTGTTAGACAAAAAAGGGAGGAGGCCATCATGCATGATTCACAGCATCTGTTGAGGCTTTCAGGTTGCCCTATATCCATAGTGACTCTCTATATCTCATAATCATGGCTTTTCATGGCTTGTTGCTCGCTGTAATACTCTAACACCAGACTCCATCTGGTCTTGGGAGGAACGGCTGAAGGCCTGTAGCCTACACTGATGAACTGGGTCTAATCTGCTGGGGTGTTCATTGTGCACTCTGATGATGACACAGTTTATGGCAAGAGGCGTTGTTTAGAAACTGTAGAAACTATTTCAAAGGACTTATATTTTAGGATTAGAGTGCAACTTCGTGAGAGATGAGTGAGTGTAAACAGGGCATGTCGTGACCCGCCTCCATTTTAGTAAACTGAAGAAAAAAAACAGACCAAAATTTAATTCCATGATCTAAATACTACTCCTTTCTCCATTAGAGCTGTCTTGTCTTGTAGATTAGGTAAGATTAGGTAGTCTTCAAAATGAAGAGGACACCGCGCGCCTTCCACATCTTCATTTAGTCTACGCTATGACGTCACCAACTGATAATAATTCATTTGAGTAGCTGTTATTACTATTATTAATATGCACTAGGCCTACTCGAAGCAAACTGCACTGTGACCAGAATTATTTTTTTCCTACAATGTCATTTGACTTATTATTAAATGGTCTCTTTGCTCCACGCCCGTAGTGCGCGTCAGTTCACCACGTGATTCGGTGCGTGTTTCTCTTTGCATGCTGACGACTGGAAGATTACGAAGCTTACTATGGCAAATGTTAGTGTATGAATATAAATTAAGTCACTCTGAAGTTGCTTAGTAACCTTCCTGGTTCTGCATTATAATTAATATTTATGAGCTCGCCATGATTCTTTTATTCGCCTGCTTAAGCCACGCCTATTTACTCTTGTCTGCTTTTCAGCTAATCCGTTTAGCCTACTGGGCGAACGGCGCGTTACGTAATTAATATTCATGAGCCAAGCCTTCTCCGTAGTAGTATTCCGAAATTCGCTACCGGGGGCGTGGCGTGGCGTGGGCTTTGCCGGTTTCAGCAGCAGACACAATGAAGCGAGGGGCAATGTAGGACACCACGTTGGGGCTTGAAACGCAGACACGTCGGTAGCGTATTATTTTTGTTTTACTTCTTTTGGATATTTTTTTTTATCGTTCATTTAATTTGTTTTGTTTGTATTCATCATAGATAAATAGCAAAGGTCGCTGCTGCTGATGAGAAAAAACAACGTGTTGAAAGTCTTTGGAGAAGAACCGCACGGGCTCAGGAAACGAGGCTCTCCATCAGAACTTTTGTTGTGTCGTTAAACCCAGTCGCGATTTAAAAAAGAATGTCGTTCGCCTATTCGGATTATCTGGCCGCTGAGTGTCTGGTGTCGATATCCAGCGGTCCCGTCCTCCATCGACCCACCCCGGTGTCTGGTGCGGCTCAGGCCCCTCCTCGGGGCCTTCCTGCCGGGGAGCCAGACGGGTCGAGCGAGGACAGGGAGGTGCGGGAGACGCTCCTGTTAGAGGGGGCCAATATGATGACGGTGGCGGAGATCCTCACCGACCTGCACGGCAAGTTTCGTCCCATGTCGGCCTACTCCGAAAGCAGCAACTCGTCATGCGGAGAGAGCGGCTACACCACGTTGTCTGACTCCACCACCCCGACGCCGACCATGACCCCCTCTGCCACCCCTGTCCCGGGACAGTACAATAACACTCAGCAGTTTTGGGGAGGAGGAGGCGCACCCCGGTCCCCCACCAAGCGTCACCCCTGTACTTTCGACGGGTGTGACAGGGTATATGGCAAATCATCCCACCTGAAAGCGCACATCAGGACCCACACAGGTAAGCTGAAGCACATGGGAGCGGATGGACGCTTACGCCGCAGACATCATTAACATTAATCATACACGTATGTGTGTACATGTAACGTTATGTACCTTGAATATGCGCATTTATACTGTCCTTGTCATTAACTTGGATGGTATGAAATTTATACAATTTTAAAAACTGCTTATAGTGTGTATTAGTTTTAAAATTTCCTGCTGGAAGGGTTTAACCATATTATGGGTTGTTGTATTGGAGCTCACGGTTAGAGTAACTTTTAACGGTCGGCCGTTTGTTTGTTTGTTGACTGTTGTCAGGGGCTCCCTCTGTCAACTCTCACTAACCGCTATGAATAGAGATCTAATAAAAGTGAATTTGTGGATAATATAATGTAATTCACTACTCGTTAGTTGAACAAAAGAGTGAAAACTCCCAACTGTGGCCTCCGAACAAAGAAAGTTTATGAACAAAGGAAGGAGCGCGTGAGGGAGGACGAGTATAGTAGTAGTATAGTGACGAACCCTGTATTTGCATATGAACAGAGCTCGATTACAGAACGCGCGCGTGCGCGGTTCCCATGTAAATGCACTTTCTGTTATTTGACTAAAGCTAAAAGAGCCATTTAAGCCACACCTGGCCTCTCTCCACGAGCTGTTCAAAACGGTCTTTACCACTTGGTTTTGTTCATGAATTTAGTTTACTGTTCCAGACAAAGTGATAGTTTTTAAACAGAACACAAGTGCAGGACCTTGTATAGTAAGAGAGAAACCAGTAGACCTACAGTTATTAGTACACTAAAAATGCAATTACAGATAGCTGCCTACTACACTAAAATCATTAGTACACAGAGTTAGGCTTACTTTATAAATATAGGACTATTCCATTACAGTTTTAAATTACTTCATAAAGTATTTAGTAACATAATCCAAGCACCACAATATGAAAGTAATGTAATCTGATTACTTTTGGATTCCTTCGAGGTCACATATGTAAATGAAGTCAAGTGAAAAGTTATATTTAGGAGAATAATTGTGCATGCACCAGTATGGCGACAAAACCAGCTGTCAAATAGAGATATCAACTGAATTCGCTGTTAATATAAGTCATCCACCCGCCACCTACTCGAACCTGTGATTATTCTCTGATTTGGAAATCTGCACCCGATCGTCACATTACAAATATTCAAATTCTCAGTGTTAAGCGTGATGATATGGTAACATATTGCACTGAAGTACCGGTAGGCTGCTTTTAAATTACATTTGGCTTATTTAAAGTAAAAGTTCTTCTTTGGCCAAATTGCATTTCCCTAATAGCCTAAACACAGGCTTTACTCCTTCAAACTTAAAATTGTCACTGTTTCCGTCACTGCAAATTCCCGAACACACACACACAAGAAATGAAATGCGCTCATCCCAAGCAAAGGCTGGATATAGGCTATTAGGCTTAATGAGTTTGTTGTTATACAGCACTTCACAGCCATTACATATCACATACTCATCGCCTGATTCGTCCTGGTTAACTATTCATTAAAATAGTTTACACGCACCGGTCTTTTCTTTCCTTTTGTTTTTAATTCTCCTTGTCAAAATTTCTCTCGGATCTGTTTTCAATGTTCAATTATTCGAGATTTTGATTTTAGGTCATATCGTCCAGCCCTACAATATTATCAAAATACTCATTTATTTAGTTTTAAGATGTGAAACCATTGTAATCCTGATAGTATTTACATTTTTTACAAAATGTAGGCTAACTATAATCTGATTTTTTTTTTTTTACGTAACTGTAACAAATTAGTTCCCAGATTTTTGTATCCTGATTACGTTCGATAAAGTTATTGTTTTTGACCCATGTAACCAAATAAGTTTATGACGCCAACATTTTAGATACCAGGGAAATTTCACAATGCCAATTTTTATACCACAATAAAAACCTATCTAATATAATGTTTAAACATTATTACTCGCCAAAATGAGCATTTTGGATTCTCTTTCGCGTCGTATCGATCTTGATTGGTTTAAAATCGTTTGAAGTCTTAAACTGACAAGACATAAAAACACATGCAAATGATTAACTTCCGTGATGGCCTGATTGGTTCTGTCGACTGTGACCCCGGCACAGTATGCTAATGATAGCAGGTGATCAGTTACAGATTGCAAATATATGATGATGATGATAATTTTAGTTATTAGTAGTGTAATCTATTACATTACACAATTTAGTTAATGTATTCTGACTACTTTTAATATGACAGTATTGTACCATATTGAATAAAAATACAAAAAAAATATTTTTTTTGTTATCCACAACATGAAGGGCATTAAACATTACATTACATCAGGGTTTCCCAGACTGGGGTTTATGAAGGAACTGCAGAGAGGTAGGGAGTTTAATGAAAAGCTAATAATTCATTAAATCATAAACATGTCAAATTAAAATAAGTAAAAACAAATCAACACAAGCTAAAAAGATTAAAATTTATTTTTGTACCTGCATGTCACTAGATCATTAATCAGATTATTAAATTATTGAAAGAGGTATGGCTGGCAAAAACAAAAAAAAAGTTTCTGTTTACCTGCATTACATGTAATTAGGAAATTATATGAATTTGTGAGTTTTAATGTGATTGAAAGTCAAAACCCTTCCAAAGACATAGTTATACATGGTTAAATGAGTGATAATTCAAATAATTATTAAAATGCATTCTTCAGGAGTTGATTAGATATGCAATGTTGAAAAAACATGAAAAATGAAATGATTTCTGTAAATTCAGTGGTTAAGTGTCGTGTTGCCTCTCCTTTTTCATGTAATTACGGTCACTTGACTATTGGCTGGTCTTTGTGTGCAATTTCACAAATCTAGAAGACTTTCTTCATGTCTTATAAGTGATAGGCTTTTTTAGAAAGTAAAAGTAAAAAAAAGAATTAGGGAGAATCAATAAATTCTGAATAATTTACAAAATAACATTGTGTGAATATGTAATCATGTAATCAATAAAAATTTAACTGCAATCTGATTATGAATAGTGTTCAACGGATCACAAAACTCATGGTTCGGATCATATTACAGTTTTTTGATTCACGGATCAGATAATTTTTTCGATTGGCATGAAAAATAAATAATTTGAAATGGGGGTCATGAAAAAAAAAAAAGAACAAAAACACTAATTACAAGCATAGATAAATACAATATAACAAAGTTACATATAAAGAAAGGTAGTAGGCCTAAATGTAAAATAACACTTTATTTAAATTAAATTGAGATGAATCTTTGTTAAAGCAGTGCTTTGTTGTTTGATTAACATGAATGACAGACAGCAGCAGGTATTTATAGGCTACTGTCACTTTAAGACCTTACGCACGGGTCCAATATAATGATACACATCCGATTTCTTTCTCAACTGTTTACGTTCACTTACGACATAACCGACTGCGTTTACGAAAATACTTGCAGAGACGGGTATTTTGACATAAATTTGTGTGTATGTGTGTGGTCAACCTCAAGGAGATGCGAAAGAGGAATCAGTTAGGTGTTCCCACGCTACCTGAAACAGATCTTTCTTTCTTCTGTTGAACACAAATTAAGATGCTTTGAAGAATGCTGGTAATCAAACAGTTGACGGCAGCCATTGACTTCCATGGTATTCATTTTTCCTACTATGGAAGTCAATGGATACCGTCAACTGTTTGATTACCAGCATTCTTCAAAATATCTTATTTTGTGTTCAACAGAAGAAAGAAAGTTAGGATCAACATGAGGGTGAGTAAATGATGACAGAATTTTCATTTTTGGGGTGAACTATCCCTTTTAAAACATAAAGCATGTCACACCTATGTAACAGTCATGTGTCCAGTCTATTCTCTGTGATCCCAAAACTTTGACTTTTCAAAACTTTTTAAGTATTAAAATCATTCAGTTATCACATATGTACATTTGCAATATTTTGATCATTTTTTTATATGTCGTGCAGCCCTAGTTGCTAAAAAAAAAACTAGTATAGTAGCTGTCTGAAGTTCATCAGTTAGTATGCTTTATATCTAGAATAGTAGGTAGTGCAGGTGCTTACTTTATAGTGCACTTGTGTATTTTATACGGCATTAGTGTCGTCTAATGAGTTGTGGATCGTCCATGTGCTCTGTCTAGGTGAGAGGCCCTTTCCTTGCACCTGGCCCGACTGCGAAAAGAAGTTCGCCCGTTCCGACGAGTTGGCCCGACACCTGCGCACCCACACAGGCGAGAAGCGCTTCCTGTGCCCACTCTGCGACAAGCGCTTCATGCGCAGCGACCACCTCATCAAGCACGCCCGCCGGCACCCCAACTTCCACCCCTCCATGATCAACCGCAAGGGTTCGGCTCAGGGATCCGCTTCAACCCAGCCCACCGCCGCCGCCTCCTCAGAGTACGCCAGCACTGCCATGTAGACCCCTGCCTTCTGCACTGTGACCACCGTCTCTAAGACACTGCAGCTTACTCGATCGCCGTGCATGCTGGGATCCTTTTAAGCTCAGTCCTCACTTCCACAGGCCAAAAATGAAGAACTTCACCACGTCTTCCTCCGAACCCCTTCGCCCAACCAGTGACGACCCAAACGGGCGAAGGAGACACAAACGCTCAAGCACATTCCCAAGTCACGTGATTAAACGATCACATGACCGACAAGTGATGGCGAACGCAGCATTGGTCTTAAATGGCTTGCTTTGGGTGTTCTAGATTCATCTGAAATGCCGTAATGGCCTTTTTTTTGGTGCATGCAGACAAAATTGCTACCAGCAGCAGCACAACGTTTTCCGTCGGCCATCGTTGTCGTTTCACTTGTCAGCCATGTTTTTGAAACTTCCTAAAGGATACGTCACAGTTTAAGGGAAAGTTTACTCGTTCTTTGGTCTTTTTTACAGTCCCATCTACCGTCGAAAATTTCGCACAACCTTGTTTGTCATGTCTTTTTGTATAGCCAGAACGGCAAACCCTCTCTGGTTTTTGTTGTCCACACACATGCTGTACGACGCAATAACCAGGTTCAGTTGCAGAATTATCACAAAGTATTTGTGTGTTACTCATGAATCAGTCACGCATAACACGTGCAGTGACTTTATGCATTCTTAAACCTCCTTGGCTTTGCGAAAACCTTGAAGTTGCGATGTCAAGTTTATCCATTCCTTAAACGAATTCTATTCTTGACCACCTTTGAAACCAAACAACGTTATCGATTGAAACCGAAACGGCCAGTGAGTTTCTTCCGGGTTGAAACACTGCCTGCCCTGCAACGCCGCATTTCCACATAGCTTTCCCTACTGAAAATTGTAATAAGTTATTGTCATCTTAATTTCCTTTTGTTTTCTATTAGTAGTATAAGCATGGCAACTGAAAAAGTAGGGGGGGTTTTTATTGTTAATTTTATTAGACCATGAATTTAATATTATTATTATTATTTTCCACTTGGAGGAACTCTTTTGTTTGGCCATGTAATGTTGATACATGTAGCAATGTGTTTAATTGTAATGTGGATACGTGTAGATAAATATCTATGCTTGCAGCTTCAATGGTAAAGATGTTATATGAACTACTAGAAGTAATACACCTTATATTAGGGGTGACAGTACACGCTTGAATAGAATAGTGCTGCTTGTGTGCGAATGTGTGTGTGTGTGTGTATTCACGCGGGAGAGAACGATCTCTCTCCAAAACTGTCCCGCCCGCGGACCTCTTACAACTATCTCAGAGAACAAAAAAAAAACCACATCAGGAAACTCAGAAAGCCTTAATATACTTGTTTTGCACCATTGTTTACTGTCGGATATTTTCTACAGGTATGCCGTCAGGCGTCGTTCTTCTCGACTAAAGAAATACACATGCAATATTGCACTTTTTTTCTTACTGGTATTGTCAATAATGCTAGTCGTCTGCTAGTGTGATGGGTTTCACTGCATAGATGCTACTGCATAGTGCTCAACTATACGAACACTGTGGAAGGGGATAAAAACCTGTCACAATAAATCGATACATTTGTCTGAGTGCTTAAACCAGTGTGAGGAAAAATGGACTTGATTTTTGTGGACTTTTCACTTTCGTTTGTATTTCGCTTTACATTTTTGAGGGTGTAATGGATGCAAAAGCTCTGAACTCAGTTGGGTCTGGTATCAAAACTACAGCTTTTTTTAATGGTTCACCATACCGTTCTTCTAATCATGCAATATTCGGAGTGCTTTGAGCTTTACTGCTGGCAGTAACTTGAAGCACGATGACAACTGACAAGTTAACAAACCAAACCAGAATAGCATTGAAGACTCTTGTTTGTTCCGTAGCTAATTAAAGTATGTATTCGTCACAATGCTTGTATGTTTGGCCGGGTTTTTCTTGTTTTTTATGTCGTCTTTTAGTAGTAGTTCTCCTGTAGCGAGTCGTCTGGATCTTTCAACCGTTGACGACATCAATGGTTCACTGTGTTGGGCTGCGGTGGGCTTTGTATGTGATTCTCGACAGACTGAGACCATTGTGATCACGTCTTTGGACTTTCACTCACAATGCCCTCTTTTAGCAGTCCGGATTCAACTTTGCATTTGATATCCCTCCCATTATACTCGACACATTCGCAGCTAGTACTCTGGACAGCCATCACAAACCACTGGATCAAATCTGATTTTTTTTTTCGTTTTGTGGTCTTTAATTTCAGTTACTATCTTTTGTATTTAGTTTGATGTACTGGAAAGTCTTGTTTCTTATGCTTTTGTATTGGTTGATGTACTGTAGATGTCTATAGTATGCAGAACATAGCTTTCTAGATGGTTTAGGACAGAACCCAGATAGCTTAGCAATCGTATAGCGGGGAAAACACGTATTCTAGTTCCTTCGGGGAAAATGCTGCAACTTTTGCTGTGTTCGAGGCATCCGATGTCTGCGTGTCAAACTAAGATGTGTGTGAGCGCGGCTGCTTTTAATCACGACGCTAGATTGAGAATATGTAGATTGACGACTTTATTTTAAGAACTGCTTTGTTGCTTGGCGTACAATCTAGATCTTGTCCATCAGTTTTGACACACTAAAACGATTATGCACTGATTGGCAGATTGTCTGTAGCGATCACACTAAAAGGATGTCTAATGAGATCTATTAAGTTCTCAGTCTACAGCCATGTCTCATATCAGTGGGCCGATGGGTTTTGTCAATACAAAAGCCTCCATGTATCTCCTCAGGTGATAAAACGTAATGCTGAAAACCTCTGTCCTTCACGAGGAGGACCTAATGTTAAACGTTCTTTTCATTCGCTTTGTTTTGCAATTCTCTGCCATTTTATTTATTACATGCTTTTGTTTTGGTGTGCTTTAAAATATCATTTTTTTACAGTACTTATTTTATGGTATGAGACTTGACTAATGATTTGATTTGATTGATTCATTGTTTGCCTCCAACAAAAACAAACAAACAAAAAATACCCTCCAGTGCTTTTTAAATAATAAATAAATGGATTAAGAATTTTTTTGTGTTTTGGTGTTTATTTTCTTTTTTTTATATGAAAATACTGAGATGTGACTATGTGATTAGTTTTATTTAGCTTATCATGTGTCCTCAAATACATACTGGACACAAAAATGGTCATTATGTTTTTCAGAGATGAGACATCTAAAACATTTGTCTAATTCTTGCATAACTAACCATCTGTGCGAAGAGTTCACAAGATCAATGTAACAAATTTGCTTATTTAATTAGTATCCTTGAAATAGTGCATAATCTGAAATGCTTAATTTTATGTTAAGTTTTCTTTGTTTAAAATTGTTCAAAATCCTAAAAAAAAGAAAAATTAAAGTGTGATCGCATACATTTGAACCCCACTGTTATATAACTGTTTGGCAACAGTTCTTCTACTGTAAGCCTTGTTGATGGAGAGTGTAGATTTTCATTTCTTAAACAACCATGTAGGAAAACACACCATGGCCATATTGCAGGATCACAATGTCAAGATTCATCAGGCTCAAATTGTGAAAGAATGGTTGGAAGGAGCATAAAGAATCATTTTCTCACACGAGTCCAGACCTTAAATTCATTGCAAGTCTTTGGGATGTGCTGGAGGGGACGTTACAGAGTGCTGGACTATACAAGATCTTGACCAAAAATTGATGCACCTCTTCAAACATCCCAACATTTATTTCCATCAAGAAGTGCATACATTTTTGGCCAAGATCTTGTATTGACAATGCAAGAGTCCAGCACTCAGAAAAGTCATGACACACACACATTTTGATTAAACCTAAATTTTTAGAAGCACACATTCATGAAAAAAAATCCAGAATTTTATGAGTAATTTTCACTTAACGCGTTTATTTTATCACCACTTTCATCTGTATTTTGTATTGAACCTGGTCTTGTTCTACCTGTTCAATATTTCTCACAGCTTTCATTAGTGTGCTAATAATTGGTACACATGATTGTACATCTGTGTCAGTATCATTCCCACAATCCAGATATATAATTTGACTCTTAATCCACATTATTTATGTTTTTTCTTTGTGCTGTAATCTGACATTTGACATGTTCCTTAAGGATTCTCGGTAACACTTTATTTTACAGTGTCCTTATTACATAAACATACTATAGTAATAACATTAAATGATGCATAGTTACATGCAACTAACCCTAAACCAAACCCTAATCCTAACCTGAACCCTATAGTACGTACATGTTGTTCATTAATATTACTCAATTCTTAAATGTATAATTACACCGCAACAAGGACACCTTAAAATAAAGTGTAACCGGATCCTGTAAGAGCTTAATCATAGTTCCTCTCTCGGGCTGCTCTCAGAGACTGGCGTGGGAGTCTTATCGCCTCGACTGCGGTCTCCACGGACGTGATGACGGTCCCAGTCAGTGTCCACCGTCTCGTCATTCCAGATGGTGGAGGTCTCTGTGTCGCTGAAATACCCCGACTCCCCAGTGTAGTGTGTGGGAAAGAGCAGCAGGGGTTCCACAGAGAAAGCCTTCAAGTCTCTCGGTTTGAAATGAGACATGTATTCCTCCCTACAGACAGAGGGAACACTACAGTTAGCCCACAGAAAGAAGTTTACTTTAAAATGCCTTTATAAAAGTCATTATTAAAAGTGCAACTCTTAACCCTTAAACGCATACCTCGGGTCTTTAGTGACCCGGGACGTCATTCACTACCCTCCTCGTTTATTTTTTTAAAGTTAGACATCAACCTTCTTAGTATAGGCTATAACAAGACAAAAATAATAAAACGATTTTTAAAAATGCGTGTTTTTCCATTAATTTTTACAAAGTACTTGTTATAGGGTCGCTAACGACCCGGGGTGTGTAACAGTGTCAGTATATTTTTTTCTGCACAACAATAATTGAATCTTTGTTGATTAGATTGAATAAGTGCAATCTACCTTTATTCCACAAAGTGGCTATGTCTGATACACGTTTCACTCATAGTTATCACAGGCAGAAAACAAAAGAATAGGAATACATCATCAGCAAAACTGGAAATGGCTCAGTGATTTACTGTAAGTACTGAATGCAATCAAATATTAGTGACACTGTCACTTGATGGTGGATGTGGTGAAGAAGCTGTCAGTGATGAATATTTTGATTTTGAATATGTTGAAAACGATAGTTTTGAGAATATGTTTGAGATGGCGAATATGAGGCAGATGTTGTTAAATGAGCTCTGACGAGGACAGTGATGATGGTGTAAACATCTGCTCAAACTAAACCCTTCCAAGCTCCAAAAGGTAACAAAATATGCTTCATTTTATTCTTCTGGAATTGTTACTCTAATATCAGTAGAGTTTTATATTATCGCAACAGGTAGAGACCCATCCGTGTTAGACACAGATCCGGGTCGCTAAAGACCCGAATATGTAATAATGATTGGTGAAACATTCGTGCATTGAAGGGTTAATGATAATGCATAGAATATCCACTACTAAATCCTGTAAATACACACTACACTACATCAAAGTTTAACTGTTCAACTGTTCAATATAATCAGATATTCAAACAACAAAAATGTTAACAAGTTATAGTGTGTGTGTGTGTGCGTGCGTATGTGTGTGTGTGTGTGTGCGTGCCAGTGAGGGGCATTAAGTACATGTTATATGCTCTTGAACAATGTTTGATGTTTTATGTTTGATATGCCGCATATTCTTGAATAATTTTGATATTTTAATCTGTGCTGTATGTATTTGTATTTATTTGTACCTGGGGACTGCAGATGTAAATTAGCCTAAGGCTAACTCTGGTGTAATGCATCAAATGTTTACATTTCTGTTAATAATTGCACATAGTCCCTTTTAAATAAAAATTAAACCAATCAAAATATTCTGGGGGCCATGAAACTGTTGTGAAAATGATCAAAAATGCTGGCGGTGGCTGGCAACTTTTTTCAAAATGGCTGGCGGGGAAAGAGTTAAGAAATGTTAATTAGTGACATCTACGACACTTACTTGGGGTGCTTGTTAAACATAACAGGCAGAAACTCGTCCACGGGCAGCATCTTGCTGAGAGGCTGGGCTTCCAGAAGCGTCTTTGCCCCCTGCAGTGAAAGGGCATAGCCTAGTGTCCAATAAGAGTAATCTGGGCTCACCAGGTTCTTCACTCCCTCCACCCAGCGCTCTGGATGCTTAATTTGCAATCGTTTACG